GTGATAGTTAAGAAGTTAGTGAATTAATTGTTAACAATTGGTTCTCAGATCGGATGAATATTTCACCTCCTCAAATGAGATGCGCGACCATCAAACTGCAGTTTGGTGAAGTTCACGACAATAGTAAAACTCAAAACTTCGACCACAATCGTACCCAAACACTAAGGTTTGGGGTGAATTATTGTACCACAAAACCCTTCAATTTGATATCCTATTGAAAAGAAAGCTGTTGTACTAGAAAAGATGTTAAAGCTGCTAAATTGACTACTTTAACTTTATCGGCCATAAAAACAAAAGCTACTTTCCACTTCATTCCATTTTGCGGTGGAAAAGTTATTACAAGAAAAACAAAAAAGAAAAGCTACTTTTGACTTTTCTCAATTTTGTAGTTCTGTCAATGTAGGTTAAGCTTCTATCTTCCTAACTGAACTTTGTGGTGGGGGTAAGACAGGGACTCTATGATGGCTGTTCGCTTCATTAATGAGGGTCGTGAACCTGAGAATCTCTCAGTGGCCCAAGTGGGATATTAAGAAGGTGATTTCAGAATGTGAGGTTTGTGTTTACGTCAGTGGTGAAGCCAGAGCACGGGCCGGTGACCCTTTGGGATTTAAAAAATATATATTATTAATTTATTAGTTATTATTATTAAAATTTTAAATATTATATTTTTAATTATTAAAATATATAAAATAAATCTAATAATAATAAATTATTTTAAGAGTTTAAATATAATTTATATAATTTATTATTTATTTTAATAATTTAACTATTTATTATTATTTACAATACATTTATCTTAAGATTTACAACTAAATTATGTAAAAAAAAAAACAGATTTTTATGTCTTCTACATCATTTTTTTAGTATCTAATTTCACTGTCTCAGTGTTAACAACCTTCAATCAATTAATTTCAACTCAATAACTTTAAAAATAGAAAAAAAACTCTGCTGATGACCCGATGTAAACAATTGCAACATTGCTCTCGCCACTAAAAGTTTAAACATAAAGCGACCATTAATTTATTTGGTAAAAACTAATAACAATACTATTTCGTTTTTATATGAATCATATATTATCATATTGAGTTTTAACTTTTAACTTTTGTAAATTTATTTTATTTTATTTTAAAATTTTATCTTATACTTATTAGTAAATATTTTTTTTTTGATCAGCAAAATGAAATTTATTAAATGGAGTACAAGGGGTACTCCAACCCACTTACAAAAATACAAGAAAAATTCAACCAACACACTTCCTACAAACAAATAAATAACACACCATATAGCACTAGACCAAAGAAACACCCAAAAAATGACGTATTGGACAATTGGCAATCCCTTGCCTCAATGCTCATAGAAATCTCTTCAAACTTCACGTTACCATCTCCAGCAAGTCCTTCAACCGCATGGACGCAGCACCTTGAACTTGAGCGCTATCCTCAAAATTCCCCCTAGTTCAGCACTTTATATATCCTCTTGTAATCCCTTAGATTCCTTTCCTATTTGATTTAGGCGGATCTCCTTTTGCTTCCTCTTTTGATTTCTCATAGCTGCAGCACACCCATGTGGATTTAACTTCCAATCACTAACCGAAAATACACATCCCTGCACTTTACTCTTGCACCAGAAGAAAGTCTTTTCCTGAATCATCACTAACAACCCCTCCCGAAGGGCCACATCCCCCTTAAATACTCTACAATTCCTCCAATACCATATATACCATGATGTGACAAGAAAAAGGCATGCTCCCAACTCCTTCCCTACCACCTTACCCAAACCATACCAGAAAATTTCTGCAACCCCCTCCAACAGACCCGGCAACACACCCTCAAACCCCCACCAAGACAGCACCCTCACCCAAATTAACCACACTTCCTTACAAGTACAAAACACATGATTAATATCTTCCACCTCCTCATTACACAGCCCACACATTAAGCCCCCCTCTAACACCACACCTCTCTTTTGCAAATTCCATTTTGTAGGAAGTCTCTGAAGACCTAATCTCCACCCAAAGACACTTACTTTAGATGGAACTAACCGACACCAAATTAACTTACACATCCAATCATTAAGTATAGCTTCCGTCGATTCTAAAAACTCATACGCTTGTTTCACCCCGTACTTCCCATCTGGACCATGAATCCACTGCCACCAATCTTCAACTCCCACCTTAAGACCAACTGTACTCAACACCTCCCACAACACCACCTCCTCATCCTTCTCCCTTCCAAACCTCCCTCTCCTCCACATGATATTCCACCTCCACCTACCCGCCTCCCAACCCCCCATCTCACTTACTAAACCCTCCTTATTTATAGCCAGCTGAAACAATCTGGGACACAGATCTCTTAAAGCTTTCTCCCCCACCCACACCGACCTCCAGAACCCTACTCGACAACCCTCCCCTACCCCCCATTTGAAACCCTTGACCAACATATCCTTTAACCTTCCAGATCTTTGACCTATACTAATAATATCCCTCCAAATCCGAGATACCCTCACACTCTCCAAGGCCGTAATATCTACTTCCTCCCTACCCCCATAGTATTTCTCCCACACCACCTTCTTCCACAAACCCTCCACCCCATCCCCTAATCTGAACCACCATTTTCCTAATAACGCCCAGTTTTTCCTACTTAAATCTAACACTCCTAAGCCTCCCTTCCTCTTATTGAAACAAATATAATCCCATTTAACCCAAGGGATTCGCCGCTTTAACTCCGCCCCACCCCACAAGAAAGCCCGTTGAATACTAATCAACTCCGCAACCACACAATTCGGCATTAAAAATAATGACATATAAAAGGTAGGGATAGCAGAGAGTACCGAGTTGAGTAGAGTGATGCGACCACCAAAGGACAACGTAGAAGATTTCCAGACGGCAAGCTTGGCTCGAAATTTTTTCAGAACCGGTTCCCACATCTTCTTACACCTAATCTTCCCACCAACCGGCAACCCCAAGTACATAAAAGAAGTTTCCCCAACACCGCAATGTAAGACGCTTGCTGCCCCTTTAATCCACCTTTCTGACACATTATAACCAACCACACTACTCTTGGAAAAATTAATCCTTAAAGCAGACATCAACTCGAAACATCTTAAAATGGCCTTCACCGCAAATACATTTTCGCTGTCAGCAGTCCCCAAAATCACCGTATCATCAGCAAATTGAAGCAAAGAAACAGTTAACCCCTTATTACCCACTGCTGGACCATGTAACATTCCTTCCGTTTCAGCTCTCCTAACTAACCCATTTAACCCCTCAGCGGCTATCAGAAAAAGAAATGGTGATAACGGATCACCTTGCCTTAAACCTCTTCCCATCACAAATTCCTCCGTCGGACTCCCATTAACTAATACCGAAATCCTTGCTGTTGAAAGACATTCTCTAATCCACCCGCGCCATTTCATTCCAAAGCCCATCCTGCACAGCATCCAATCCAAGTATGTCCAATCTACGCAATCATAAGCCTTTTCAAAATCAGCTTTAAAAACAAAGGCCTTTTGTTTTTTCAATTTCACCTCATCGACCACCTCATTTAGCAATAGAACACTATCAACCAATTGGCGCCCCCCCAGAAAAGCAGATTGCGTGTCACTAATTAACTCCGACATTACGCCCTTTAACCTATTAGCCAGCACCTTAGCCAATAACTTATACAGACATCCAATCAAACTAATAGGTCTAAAATCCTTTAATTCCAAAGGATTTAACTTCTTAGGGATTAATGTTATGAAGGAAGAATTTAATCCTCTTACTAACCTGCCATTCTGGTGGAATTCCTCAAAAAAGCTCAAAAAATCCTCCTTCAAACAGTTCCACACACATTTGAGAAAATTAAAATTGAATCCATCCGGCCCGGGCGCTTTAGTTCCCTCACAGCTCTTCAATCCATCCTCAATCTCCTCTACAGAAAAGGGCCTTTCTAACTCCGCCTTCTTCTCTTCCGAAATCTGTTTAAAATTGATTCCAACTGGCTTGGGGCGTTGCCATGATTCTCCGGCAAACATCTTACTAAAGTACCTGACCACCTCGTTCTTCACCTCCTTGGGCTCCTCCACCCATTTGCCTTCACATGCAAACCCATTAATGTTATTATGAGCTTTTCTACCATTTGCAACTTTGTGAAAAAACCTCGTATTAGCATCCCCTAATTTTGCCCAGCTACATCTTGATTTCTGCTTCCATAATATCTCCCTTTTCTTCAGAATATCCCACATTTCATTAAAGCCTTCTTGTCTCTCAGACACCTCTTCCCCTTCTAAATCAGCCTCTTCATTCTTCATATCCATCTGCGCAACCTTATCCATAGCAACTTGATATTTAACTTCTATATCCCCAAACACTTCCTTATTCCACCCTTTCAAAACATTCTTCAGCATCTTTAATTTCTGTACGCATCTATACCCTGCAAACCCATCAACCACCGTCTCATTCCATTTGTCTTCAACTACTTTCTTAAATTCTGGATGTTGCTGCCAAACATCCAACACCCGAAAAGGTTTAGGCCCCCAATCTGCAACTCTAGTTTTCAAGATAATAGCACAATGATCGGATATATTCCTCCTCAACCCCTGCTGCACTCATTCCTCACCCATACTGCTCATCTCCACAGTCATCAATATCCTATCCAATCTGCTCATGGATGTCCCATCCGGTCTATACCATGTAAACTTCCGATTGGCCAACTTAATATCAACCAATCCTGTTGTCTCAATGAAAGCGTCAAACTCCGACATATCTACACTCATACCTGTCCTTCCCCTTTTTTCTTCAAGGCACCGAACAGCATTATAATCCCCTGCCAGCAACCATCTCCCACCCTCTTCTGTAATTTTCTGGCTGAGCTCATCCCATAACGCAGCCTTGCTCCTTCTATCACTCGGAGCATATACGTTCACAAAAACACACGGCTCCTCTTTTGACCCCCATACGCCTCTTATACCCAAGTACCCATCCCCTGTAAATTCCTCCACTTTGCCAAAAGCTGTCCTGCTCCACACACACAACAACCCTCCAGATGCTCCAACCGAGCTCTTCATACTCCAATCAAACTCATCCGAATACCACAACTTTTTACACAATTCTTCCTCTACCTCTTCTAATTTGGTCTCCTGAACAAATAAAAAATCTGGTTTCTCTACCCTTACTAATTTACCCAGTTCCCTCCTCTTCACCGCACCCCCCAACCCTCTGACATTAAAAGAGACAAATTTCATTTCAACACCAACCCACCCCGACTCTACCTCCCCACAGACCCATAACTTAGCTATTTCTCCCCCGTACCTCATCCCTCTGCTCCAGCTCTAAAAACCGAGATTCCACCTCCTCTTCACTTCCCTGAAACTGCATACCCAGCCGTCTCCCAGCTGTAATCAACCTTCTTACCTCGTGCATACTGAGATCCTGTTGAATCACACGGTTCCGGTGAGCAATACACCCATCTGAGATAGAGGCATCTCTTCCTTCTTGCTGATTCCTTCCCGATTCTGCTGTCATCTGCTGCGTCCTTCCCGACTCTGCTGGCAACTGCTGCACCTTCATCCTTCTCGCGTGCCTCTGCTTTGTCCGCCCAGTCACCCAATCTGCTCGATCTTCCTGATTTTCTCTCCCCTCTTTCGGATAGCAATCTGCAATTTGTCTCCTCTTTTTACCCATCCCCTCTTTACCGACCCTATCACATGCAGACCCTTCTAGGACTAAGTCATTGGGTTTTCTGCTCTTACCATTTTCAACCAGCCCTGTAAGACTCACTCCCGGCCCAATACCATCTATCAGCCCATTATCCTTTACCAGCCCATGCATGTCCTCTATCCTCCCATATTGCTCAATCCCGCCACTCATGCAATCCGCCTCCTGAACCGTTACTTCCTTACCATTTGAATTCAAAACCCCTTCCTTCTGAAACTGCTCCAAATCAATGCTAGCATCATCCTCGGCGCTAATCTCGTCTACACTAATTTCCGGATCTTCGTCACCACTTTGCGAGGAATATTCCGATGAAGCCTCTGAATAGCTCCGCCGGTCACCGTCCACTACCCACCAGTCGGGATCGGACCTCCATTCTTCCTCCACAACCCCCACCTCATATGTCTGGCCCTCGATCTTCAATTGTACAGTCTTAGCAATTTTGAGTTCATCACTACAAAGAACTAAAACCCTTCCTTCACACATAAATAATTTATTTCTGGTATCATCATGCACCATCACCACCTCACCCACTGTTCCTCCGATCAATGCAAAACACCTATCACTCCACGCTTTCAACGGGACGCCTGAAACTCGCAACCAAACTAGTCTACTTCTCAGCGAAGCTGCCATTGCCCACGGCCTTACGGATTCAAACCATGTGTCAAACAATTCTTTATTTTGCTCCATAAACTCGCCCAGGTAACCTTTCACTTTTTCAGTTAACAACACTGATCTGCCCCCTAATGGTGATACTGAAATCATCCCTCCATCCACATCGACAGTATCCTGTATGCTCGTAATGAACCTTAATGACTTTAATAATGCCACCATACCCCCCTCCAGCCAATGTAGCTCCTCCTCCGTCGGAGAAAAATCAATGGTTGCCGCTTGAACTTGATCCCATACACTTCCCACCATCCCCGTCTGCCCCTGCATCGTATCACTTGAACCAACATACTCATTCTTTTCAAGCTGTACTGTCTGCACTGGGACCATCTCCACCAGAACCTTACCTTTCTCCTTTTCAGATATTTCCGTTTCGTTATCCTGCTTCCTAACATACCGCTGATTGTTCCCCACAACCACCTGTGCATAAGACTGCCCAGGTTGAACCAATCTATTCGCATTGCTCCTTGTCATCTTTTCCGGCCCTGAACTCTGCTTCACAGGACGGTCAGCGATCCTCACCCGTAGCTTATAAAACCCGAACCAAATCTCATTAAGCCTCTTCTCCATTCTATACTCATTCATCACCCCTACCATACGGACAAAACCAAATCTTTTCCCCCATTTATCTCTCTTGTTCGGCACAAATACATCAACTACCTTTCCATACCCTTGAAAACAATACCACAGATCCTT